ATGGTGGGGGCTCCTCCTGGGCTTTCTCAACCCTGGGTGTTACTCAGGACAGGTGGGTGACCAGGGATGGTGTGGCTCCTCCTGGGCTTTCCCAACCCTGGGTGTTACTCAGGACAGGTGAGTGACCAGGGATGTGTGGCGGGCTCCTCCAGGGCTTTCTCAACCCTGGGTGTTACTCAGGACAGGTGAGTGACCAGGGATGGTGTGGCTCCTCCTGGGCTTTCTGAACCCTGGGTGTCACTCAGGACAGGTGAGTGACCAGGGATGGTATGGCTCCTCCTGGGCTTTCTCAACCCTGGGTGTCACTCAGGACAGGTGGTGACCAGGGATGGTGTGGCTCCTCCTGGGCTTTTCTCAACCCTGGGTGTTACTCAGGACAGGTGAGTGACCAGGGATGGTGTGGCTCCTCCTGGGCTTTCTCAACCCTGGGTGTTACTCAGGACAGGTGAGTGACCAGGGATGGTGTGGCTCCTCCTGGGCTTTCTCAACCCTGGGTGTAAACTCAGGACAGGTGGGTGACCAGGGATGGTGTGGCTCCTCCTGGGCTTTCTCAACCCTGGGTGTCACTCAGGACAGGTGAGTGACCAGGGATGGTGTGGCTCCTCCGGGGCTTTCTAAAACCCTGGGTGTCACTCAGGACAGGGGGAGTGACCAGGGATGGTATGGCTCCTCCTGGGCTTTCTCAACCCTGGGTGTCACTCAGGACAGGTGGGTGACCAGGGATGGTGTGGCTCCTCCTGGGCTTTCCTCAACCCTGGGTGTCACTCAGGACAGGTGAGTGACCAGGGAGGGGTGTGGCTCCTCCTGGGCTTTCTCAACCCTGGGTGTTACTCAGAACAGGTGGGTGACCAGGGATGGTGTGGCTCCTCCTGGGCTTTCTCAACCCTGGGTGTTACTCAGGACAGGTGGGTGACCAGGGATGGTGTGGCTCCTCCTGGGCTTTCTCAACCCTGGGTGTTACTCAGGACAGGTGAGTGACCAGGGATGGTGTGGCTCCTCCTGGGCTTTCTCAACCCTGGGTGTTACTCAGGACAGGTGAGTGACCAGGGATGGTGTGGCTCCTCCTGGGCTTTCTCAACCCTGGGTGTTACTCAGGACAGGTGAGTGACCAGGGATGGTGTGGCTCCTCCTGGGCTTTCTCAACCCTGGGTGTTACTCAGGACAGGTGGGTGACCAGGGATGGTGTGGCTCCTCCTGGGCTTTCTCAACCCTGGGTGTTACTCATTACAGGTGAGTGACCAGGGATGGTGTGGCTCCTCCTGGGCTTTCTCAACCCTGGGTGTTACTCAGGACAGGTGAGTGACCAGGGATGGTGTGGCTCCTCCTGGGTTTCTCAACCCTGGGTGTTACTCAGGACAGGTGAGTGACCAGGGATGGTGTGGCTCCTCCTGGGCTTTCTCAACCCTGGGTGTTACTCAGGACAGGTGAGTGACCATGGATGGTATGGCTCCTCCTGGGCTTTCTCAACCCTGGGTGTTACTCAGGACAGGTGAGTGACCAGGGATGGTGTGGCTCCTCCTGGGCTTTCTCAACCCTGGTGTTACTCAGGAAGGTGAGTGACCAGGGATGGTGTGGCTCCTCCTGGGCTTTCTCAACCCTGGGTGTTACTCAGGACAGGTGGGTGACCAGGGATGGTGTGGCTCCTCCTGGGCTTTCTCAACCCTGGGTGTTACTCAGGACAGGTGGGTGACCAGGGATGGTGTGGCTCCTCCTGGGCTTTCCCAACCCTGGGTGTTACTCAGGACAGGTGAGTGACCAGGGATGGTGTGGCTCCTCCAGGGCTTTCTCAACCCTGGGTGTTACTCAGGACAGGTGAGTGACCAGGGATGGTGTGGCTCCTCCTGGGCTTTCTGAACCCTGGGTGTCACTCAGGACAGGTGAGTGACCAGGGATGGTATGGCTCCTCCTGGGCTTTCTCAACCCTGGGTGTCACTCAGGACAGGTGGGTGACCAGGGATGGTGTGGCTCCTCCTGGGCTTTCTCAACCCTGGGTGTTACTCAGGACAGGTGAGTGACCAGGGATGGTGTGGCTCCTCCTGGGCTTTCTCAACCCTGGGTGTTACTCAGGACAGGTGATGACCAGGGAGGGTTTGTGGCTCCTCCTGGGCTTTCTCACCCTGGGTGTCACTCAGGACAGGTGGGTGACCAGGATGGTGTGGCTCCTCCTGGGCTTTCTCAACCCTGGGTGTCACTCAGGACAGGTGAGTGACCAGGGATGGTGTGGCTCCTCCTGGGCTTTCTCAACCCTGGTGGTCACTCAGGACAGGTGAGTGACCAGGGATGGTATGGCTCCTCCTGGGCTTTCTCAACCCTGGGTGTCACTCAGGACAGGTGGGTGACCAGGGATGGTGTGGCTCCTCCTGGGCTTTCTCAACCCTGGGTGTCACTCAGGACAGGTGAGTGACCAGGGATGGTGTGGCTCCTCCTGGGCTTTCTCAACCCTGGGTGTTACTCAGAACAGGTGGGTGACCAGGGATGGTGTGGCTCCTCCTGGGCTTTCTCAACCCTGGGTGTTACTCAGGACAGGTGGGTGACCAGGGATGGTGGGCTCCTCCTGGGCTTTCTCAACCCTGGGTGTTACTCAGGACAGGTGAGTGACCAGGGATGGTGTGGCTCCTCCTGGGCTTTCTCAACCCTGGGTGTTACTCAGGACAGGTGAGTGACCAGGGATGGTGTGGCTCCTCCTGGGCTTTCTCAACCCTGGGTGTCACTCAGGACAGGTGAGTGACCAGGGATGGTGTGGCTCCTCCTGGGCTTTCTCAACCCGGGGTGTCACTCAGGACAGTGGGTGACCAGGGATGGTGTGGCTCCTCCTGGGCTTTCTCAACCCTGGGTGTCACTCAGGACAGGTGAGTGACCAGGGATGGTGTGGCTTCTCCTGGGCTTTCTCAACCCTGGGTGTTACTCAGGACTGGTGAGTGACCAGGGATGGTGTGGCTCCTCCTGGGCTTTCTCAACCCTGGGTGTCACTCAGGACAGGTGGGTGACCAGGGATGGTGTGGCTCCTCCTGGGCTTTCTCAACCCTGGGTGTCACTCAGGACAGGTGAGTGACCAGGGATGGTGTGGCTCCTCCTGGGCTTTCTCAACCCTGGGTTTTCACTCAGGAACAGGTGGTGACCAGGGATGGTATGGCTCCTCCTGGGCTTTCTCAACCCTGGGTGTCACTCAGGACAGGTTGGTGACCAGGGATGGTGTGGCTCCTCCTGGCTTTCTCAACCCTGGGTGTCACTCAGGACAGGTGAGTGACCAGGGATGGTGTGGCTCCTCCGGGGCTTTCTCACCCTGGGTGTTACTCAGGACAGGTGGTGACCAGGGATGGTGTGGCTCCTCCTGGGCTTTCTCAACCCTGGGTGTTACTCAGGACAGGTGGGTGACCAGGGATGGTGTGGCTCCTCCTGCGCTTTCTCAACCCTGGGTGTTACTCAGGACAGGTGAGTGACCAGGGATGGTGTGGCTCCTCCTGGGCTTTCTCAACCCTGGGTGTTACTCAGGACAGGTGAGTGACCAGGGATGGTGTGGCTTCCTCCTGGGCTTTCTCAACCCTTGGTGTCACTCAGGACAGGTGAGTGACCAGGGATGGTGTGGCTCCTCCTGGGCTTTCTCAACCCTGGGTGTTACTCAGGACAGGTGAGTGACCAGGGATGGTGTGGCTCCTCCTGGGCTTTCTCAACCCTTGGTGTCACTCAGGACAGGTGAGTGACCAGGGATGGTGTGGCTCCTCCTGGGCTTTCTCAACCCTGGGTGTTACTCAGGACAGGTGAGTGACCAGGGATGGTATGGCTCCTCCTGGGCTTTCTCAACCCTGGGTGTTACTCAGACAGGTGGTGACCAGGATGGTATGGCTCCTCCTGGGCTTTCTCAACCCTGGGTGTTACTCAGGACAGGTGAGTGACCAGGGATGGTATGGCTCCTCCTGGCTTTCTCAACCCTGGGTGTTACTCAGGACAGGTGAGTGACCAGGGATGGTATGGCTCCTCCTGGGCTTTCTCAACCCTGGGTGTTACTCAGGACAGGTGAGTGACCAGGGATGGTATGGCTCCTCCTGGGCTTTCTCAACCCTGGGTGTTACTCAGGACAGGTGAGTGACCAGGGATGGTATGGCTCCTCCTGGGCTTTCTCAACCCTGGGTGTTACTCAGGACAGGTGGTGACCAGGGATGGTATGGCTCCTCCGGGGCTTTCTCAACCCTTGGTGTTACTCAGGACAGTGAGTGACCAGGGATGGTATGGCTCCTCCTTGGCTTTCTCAACCCTGGGTGTTACTCAGGACAGGTGAGTGACCAGGGATGGTATGGCTCCTCCTGGGCTTTCTCAACCCTGGTGTTACCCCGGGACAGGTGGGTGACCAGGGATGGTATGGCTCCTCCTGGGCTTTCTCAACCCTGGGTTTTTACTCAGGACAGGTGGGTGACCAGGGATGGTGTGGCTCCTCCTGGGCTTTCTCAACCCTGGGTGTTACTCAGGACAGGTGGGGTGACCAGGGATGGTATGGCTCCTCCGGGGCTTTCTCAACCCTGGGTGTTACTCAGGACAGGTGGTGACCAGGGATGGTATGGCTCCTCCTGGGCTTTCTCACCCTGGGTGTTACTCAGGACAGGTGGGTGACCAGGGATGGTGGCTCCTCCTGGCTTTCTCAACCCTGGGTGTTACTCAGGACAGGTGGTGACCAGGGATGGTATGGCTCCTCCTGGGCTTTCTCAACCCTGGGTGTTTACTCAGGACAGGTGGTGACCAGGGATGGTGATGGCTCCTCCTGGGGCTTTCTCAACCCTGGGTGTTACTCAGGACAGGTGAGTGACCAGGGATGGTTGGCTCCTCCTGGGCTTTCTCAAACCCTGGGTGTTACTCAGGACAGGTGAGTGACCAGGGAAATGGTGTAGCTCCTCCTGGCTTTCTCAACCCTTGGGTGTCACTCAGGACAGGTGAGTGACCAGGGATGGTGTGGCTCCTCCTGGGCTTTCTCAACCCTGGGTGTTACTCAGGACAGGTGGGGTGACCAGGGATGGTATGGCTCCTCCTGGGCTTTCTCAACCCTGGGTGTTACTCAGGACAGGTTGGGTGACCAGGGAGGGTTTATGGCTCCTCCTGGGCTTTCTCAACCCTGGGTGTTACTTAGGACAGGTGAGTGACCAGGGATGGTGTGCCTCCTCCTGGGCTTTCTCAACCCTTGGTGTCACTCAGGACAGGTGAGTGACCAGGGATGGTGTGGCTCCTCCTGGGCTTTCTCAACCCTGGGTGTTACTCAGGACAGGTGGAGTGACCAGGGATGGTGTGGCTCCTCCTGGGCTTTCTCAACCCTGGGTGTTACTCAGGACAGGTGAGTGACCATGGATGGTATGGCTCCTCCTGGGCTTTCTCAACCCTGGGTGTTACTCAGGACAGGTGAGGGGACCAGGGATGGTGTGGCTCCTCCTGGGCTTTCTCAACCCTGGTGTTACTCAGGAAAGGTGAGTGACCAGGGATGGTGTGGCTCCTCCTGGGTTTTTCTCAACCCTGGGTGTTACTCAGGACAGGTGGGTGACCAGGGATGGTGTGGCTCCTCCTGGGCTTTCTCAACCCTGGGTGTTACTCAGGACAGGTGGGTGACCAGGGATGGTGTGGCTCCTCCTGGGCTTTCCCAACCCTGGGTGTTACTCAGGACAGGTGAGTGACCAGGGATGGTGTGGCTCCTCCAGGGCTTTCTCAACCCTGGGTGTTACTCAGGACAGGTGAGTGACCAGGGATGGTGTGGCTCCTCCTGGCTTTCTGAACCCTGGGTGTCACTCAGGACAGTGAGTGACCAGGGATGGTATGGCTCCTCCTGGGCTTTCTCAACCCTGGGTGTCACTCAGGACAGGTGGGTGACCAGGGATGGTGTGGCTCCTCCTGGGCTTTCTCAACCCTGGGTGTTACTCAGGACAGGTGAGTGACCAGGGATGGTGTGGCTCCTCCTGGGCTTTCTCAACCCTGGTGTTTACTCAGGACAGGTGAGTGACCAGGGATGGTGTGGCTCCTCCTGGGCTTTCTCAACCCTGGGTGTCACTCAGGACAGGTGGGTGACCAGGGATGGTGTGGCTCCTCCTGGGCTTTCTCAACCCTGGGTGTCACTCAGGACAGGTGAGTGACCAGGGATGGTGTGGCTCCTCCTGGGCTTTCTCAACCCTGGGTGTCACTCAGGACAGGTGAGTGACCAGGGATGGTATGGCTCCTCCTGGGCTTTCTCAACCCTGGGTGTCACTCAGGACAGGTGGGTGACCAGGGATGGTGTGGCTCCTCCTGGGCTTTCTCAACCCTGGGTGTCACTCAGGACAGGTGAGTGACCAGGGATGGTGTGGCTCCTCCTGGGCTTTCTCAACCCTGGGTGTTACTCAGAACAGGTGGGTGACCAGGGATGGTGTGGCTCCTCCTGGGCTTTCTCAACCCTGGGTGTTACTCAGGACAGGTGGGTGACCAGGGATGGTGTGGCTCCTCCTGGGCTTTCTCAACCCTGGGTGTTACTCAGGACAGGTGAGTGACCAGGGATGGTGTGGCTCCTCCTGGGCTTTCTCAACCCTGGGTGTTACTCAGGACAGGTGAGTGACCAGGGATGGTGTGGCTCCTCCTGGGCTTTCTCAACCCTGGGTGTTACTCAGGACAGGTGAGTGACCAGGGATGGTGTGGCTCCTCCTGGGCTTTCTCAACCCTGGGTGTTACTCAGGACAGGTGAGTGACCAGGGATGGTATTTCTCCTCCTGGGCTTTCTCAACCCTGGGTGTTACTCAGGACAGGTGAGTGACCAGGGATGGTGTGGCTCCTCCGGGGCTTTCTAAACCCCGGGGTTTGTTACTCAGGACAGGTGAGTGACCAGGGATGGTGTGGCTCCTCCTGGGCTTTCTCAACCCTGGGTGTTACTCAGGACAGGTGGGTGACCAGGGATGGTGTGGCTCCTCCTGGGCTTTCTCAACCCTGGGTGTTACTCAGGACAGGTGGGTGACCAGGGATGGTGTGGCTCCTCCTGGGCTTTCTCAACCCTGGGTGTTACTCAGGACAGGTGAGTGACCAGGGATGGTGTGGCTCCCTCCTGGGCTTTTCTCAACCCTGGGTGTTACTCAGGACAGGTGAGTGACCAGGGATGGTGTGGCTCCTCCTGGGCTTTCTCAACCCTGGGTGTCACTCAGGACAGGTGAGTGACCAGGGATGGTGTGGCTCCTCCTGGGCTTTCTCAACCCTGGGTGTCACTCAGGACAGGTGGGTGACCAGGGATGGTGTGGCTCCTCCTGGCTTTCTCAACCCTGGGTGTCACTCAGGACAGGTGAGTGACCAGGATGGTGTGGCTTCTCCTGGGCTTTCTCAACCCTGGGTGTTACTCAGGACTGGTGAGTGACCAGGGATGGTGTGGCTCCTCCTGGGCTTTCTCAACCCTGGGTGTCACTCAGGACAGGTGGGTGACCAGGGATGGTGTGGCTCCTCCTGGGCTTTCTCAACCCTGGGTGTCACTCAGGACAGGTGAGTGACCAGGGATGGTGTGGCTCCTCCTGGGCTTTCTCAACCCTGGGTGTCACTCAGGACAGGTGAGTGACCAGGGATGGTATGGCTCCTCCTGGGCTTTCTCAACCCTGGGTGTCACTCAGGACAGGTTGGTGACCAGGGATGGTGTGGCTCCTCCTGGGCTTTCTCAACCCTGGGTGTCACTCAGGACAGGTGAGTGACCAGGGATGGTGTGGCTCCTCCTGGGCTTTCTCAACCCTGGGTGTACTCAGGACAGGTGGTGACCAGGGATGGTGTGGCTCCTCCTGGGCTTTCTCAACCCTGGGTGTTACTCAGGACAGGTGGGTGACCAGGGATGGTGTGGCTCCTCCTGGGCTTTCTCAAACCTGGTGTTACTCATGGACAGGTGAGTGACCAGGGATGGTGTGGCTCCTCCTGGGCTTTCTCAACCCTGGGTGTTACTCAGGACAGGTGAGTGACCAGGGATGGTGTGGCTCCTCCTGGGCTTTCTCAACCCTTGGTGTCACTCAGGACAGGTGAGTGACCAGGGATGGTGTGGCTCCTCCTGGGCTTTCTCAACCCTGGGTGTTACTCAGGACAGGTGAGTGACCAGGGATGGTGTGGCTCCTCCTGGGCTTTCTCAACCCTTGGGTGGTCACTCAGGACAGGTGAGTGACCAGGGATGGTGTGGCTCCTCCTGGGCTTTCCCCAACCCTGGTGTTACTCAGGACAGGTGAGTGACCAGGGATGGTATGGCTCCTCCTGGGCTTTCTAAAACCCTGGGTGTTACTCAGGACAGGTGGGTGACCAGGGATGGTATGGCTCCTCCTGGGCTTTCTCAACCCTGGGTGTTACTCAGGACAGGTGAGTGACCAGGGATGGTATGGCTCCTCCTGGGCTTTCTCAACCCTGGGTGTTACTCAGGACAGGTGGTGACCAGGGATGGTATGGCTCCTCCTGGGCTTTCTCAACCCTGGGTGTTACTCAGGACAGGTGAGTGACCAGGGATGGTATGGCTCCTCCTGGGCTTTCTCAACCCTGGGTGTTACTCAGGACAGGTGAGTGACCAGGGATGGTATGGCTCCTCCTGGGCTTTCTCAACCCTGGGTGTTACTCAGGACAGGTGGGTGACCAGGGATGGTATGGCTCCTCCTGGGCTTTCTCAACCCTGGTGTTACTCAGGACAGGTGAGTGACCAGGGATGGTATGGCTCCCCCTTTGGCTTTCCAACCCTGGGTGTTACTCAGGACAGGTGAGTGACCAGGATGGTAGGCTCCTCCGGGGCTTTCTCAACCCTGGGTGTTACTCCAGGACAGGTGGGTGACCGGGGATGGTATGGCTCCTCCTGGGCTTTCTCAACCCTGGTGTTACTCAGGACAGGTGGGTGACCAGGATGGTGTGGCTCCTCCTGGGCTTTCTCAACCCTGGGTGTTACTCAGGACAGGTGAGTGACCAGGGATGGTATGGCTCCTCCTGGGCTTTCTCAACCCTGGGTGTTACTCAGGACAGGTGGGTGACCAGGGATGGTATGGCTCCTCCTGGGCTTTCTCAACCCTGGTGTTACTCAGGACAGGTGGGTGACCAGGGATGGTATGGCTCCTCCTGGGCTTTCTCAACCCTGGTGTTACTCAGGACAGGTGGGTGACCAGGGATGGTGTGGCTCCTCCGGGGCTTTCTCAACCCTGGTGTTACTCAGGACAGGTGAGTGACCAGGGATGGTATGGCTCCTCCTGGGCTTTCTCAACCCTGGGTTTTCACTCAGGACAGGTGAGTGACCAGGGATGGTGTGGCTCCTCCTGGGTTTTCCCTCAACCCTGGGTGTTACTCAGGACAGGTGAGTGACCAGGGATGGTATGGCTCCTCCTGGGCTTTCTCAACCCTGGGTGTTACTCAGGACAGGTGGGTGACCAGGGATGGTGTGGCTCCTCCTGGGCTTTCTCAACCCTGGGTGTTACTCAGGACAGGTGGGGTGACCAGGGATGGTGTGGCTCCTCCTGGGCTTTCTCAACCCTGGGTGTTACTCAGGACAGGTGAGTGACCAGGGATGGTGTAGCTCCTCCTGGGCTTTCTCAACCCTGGTGTCAACTCAGGACAGGTGGTGACCAGGGATGGTGTGGCTCCTCCTGGGCTTTCTCAACCCTGGGTGTTACTCAGGACAGGTGAGTGACCAGGGATGGTATGGCTCCTCCTGGGCTTTCTCAACCCTGGGTGTTACTCAGGACAGGTGGGTGACCAGGGATGGTATGGCTCCTCCTGGGCTTTCTCAACCCTGGGTGTTACTTAGGACAGGTGAGTGACCAGGGATGGTGTGGCTCCTCCTGGGCTTTCTCAACCCTTGGTGTCACTCAGGACAGGTGAGTGACCAGGGATGGTGTGGCTCCTCCTGGGCTTTCTCAACCCTGGGTGTTACTCAGGACAGGTGAGTGACCAGGGATGGTATGGCTCCTCCTGGGCTTTCTCAACCCTGGGTGTTACTCAGGACAGGTGGGTGACCAGGGATGGTATGGCTCCTCCTGGGCTTTCTCAACCCTTGGGTGTCACTCAGGACAGGTGAGTGACCAGGGATGGTGTGGCTCCTCCTGGGCTTTCTCAACCCTGGGTGTTACT